ATCTAAATACTATGAGGCCTGGTAACTTGATTCCTCTGGATCTCAGATGGAAAATGTTGAATCATGTGCTCTTTCAAACACCCGTTCCTTCCGTGTAGAAACGAGGTCAACTTGCTGAATGCCCAAAGTAACTTTCCTAAAACGCCTTGATAGGTGTTATATGCACTGGTACCATATTAACATTAAAACTAACTCTTTTTATGTACGTTAGTCAGCGATCAACAATTAATTGCACCCTTTGGAATCCTGTAGTCTTTATCTTTTGTTTTGCCTGTCGTTGTCATGTGTCTGGTTGGCGCATGTTGTTTAGGAAAAGGCCTAAAACACCCCGTTCAAACAGAAGCGATATCTTCTCGCGTTTTCTAATTCACGTTAGGAAGCATTTTGAACTGATGCCTTTGCGCACACATACAGCACCACGGAACCTTCCTTGCTTGACTTTAGCACTCACGAGACTTGAAGTAGTAAGTGTTTGCTGGCGAACCAACTGAGGGCTACCAAAAATGTGAATGGTTGAACACTTCACAGCGGTATCATTGACAGATGTTCACTAAACGTCAGACTAAAAAGATGATGCTGCTAGAAATAGTTGTGTGCAACATTAGTGGTGAACCATAGATGTTTTTAATTTCTCATAAAAGGAAGCGAAATCACGGGATAAGAATACAAGACCTCTATGGTTTGTTGATCTGCAACGCTAGCCACAGAAGTCTGACATAACTCCTGTCATTAGAAGAGGACACTCTCATATCGGAACCGAAATCAAATCCTTGTAGGGTAAAATGACATACAGTTTGAACACTCTGAAATAAGGGGTCTTTTAAGGAGCCTAAATCTTAATTAATCTGTAGAACTAGAATGCACTTAACGAAAGTGCTTAGAGAGTGCACTAATGTTCCGTGGTCTTACAAATAAACCAGTTTTTTCATTTGTTCTTAATTAAGAAATCACTCCGTGACCAAAAGAAAGCGGCAGTCGCTTGGAAACTGTAGAGAAATATAAATTTCTCGTCTCCTGTTTGGGGTTATCAACTCGGTCTGTTCAGTTGCAGCCATGAAAAGAGTACTCAGAAACTCATTTTATGATTGTCTTCATAGGTAAAGAGTGGGATAATAGTAACTGACAAACATACATCTAATCCTCTCCTGCGCGATGAGTTGAATCGGCCTGTCTCGCTCATACATAAAAGAAATCTTATGGTTACTCTTGGTGGCCCACATGAAGTCTCCGCTCATTGTGGCTTCACAGAGAACAAGATATTCGGAACCCGGGAGTTTCCCCATTGAGCTGAAGGGGACTTCCACTTGAAGAACTAGCTCTCCATTTAGTTACCCGTTGGATGCGTATCTTTCTAAAGTGCATACAAAGAGAAGCTACCAGCAAAGTGATAGGACTGGTCTGTAAAACAATTTAAGTATACAGACGCCCTCAAGCCGCCAAATGTACAATGCGGATGGGTAAGGAGGACGTAATCATGCTTTGTTATACCACGCACCACCTCTTGCATTAAAACGTATATTAAGCCTTGAAACATGATTCCCATATACCGGTCATGTATGAAAAGGAGCCGCTGAGAGAGCACGAACGAAAATCCGTGTTGGTGTTACCGCCGCAAGTACTTGAAGACGGTGAGCCCCACTTCCAGAAAAAACTGTCACAACCTCTTCACTCGACGCTTTCAAAACACCAGCACGCTCCCTAGTTGCTCTGCAGAATAACTATGGTTTTTTCTAGAGGCCTTCTCTCACAGACCAAAAATAAATACTTGATAAGAGCTGAAATATATACTTTCACGTCTGTGAAGCCCGAGATAATGAATATAACTACTCCAAATGACAAAGCATCCTCATGGCAACAATTTCAAAAACATGTAATAATTGTCCACCATTATTCAGCACCACCAAATGCAGTAGAGTTACCTTGAATAAAGGTAATTCCTGCCATGGTCCTCGAAAAACTCTGGAAGCTCCACACGGGGAAATCGCCAGGGTAGGGACCTTTCTCTTCTCCAAATTTGATAGCGTAGTAATCTGTATTTCCATATCTGCTCGTGCCTCTCCTTTCTTTCCCCATTTGCAGAAACAGCTGCAAGTCGACATTTGATGTTCAAATTCAGTCTGAACGTGATTACTTTATGGGAATAACACCTGCTCATTGACGCCAATAATTATTTGACTGCTCCCACTCTTTCGCAAATTCTGGACCATCTTCAAGATTAACTCGCCTACTTGTCATGAATTTTCTTGCAACGAACCGTCCGACCATTCCCAACAGTATTGGTAGCTAAGGCATTCTGAACAGATGATTAAACCAGAGACCAATTAAAATGTTGGCTCAGGACGTCACTTACCTGCGATGGCTCCACACTAGACATTTTCTAGTACTCTGTACCAAGAGGCCTTTTCATATGGAACTTACTACGCATCAAATATACTTCTCGAATGATGCCGCCTATGCTAATACAAAAGATGCTCGAAGTCTATGGACAATTGACTGTTTCAACACCTATTTTCACCCAATAAAACAAGTATTCCCAGCAGAATTAATCTATATCACCTTTAAAAGTAACATGGTGACCTGGATATGCATTGATATAGCCATACACGTTGGTTGTATAACTGTGGATACTTTACTGATACTCCAGATTGTATAACGGGGTCCTTTGTGGTTAGCAAACTAAAAACTGAAGATCATTCTAAGTAACAAACTATTATATTACTAATCAGCAAACTTTGCGAATGGACTAACAACGTCGGTTGGTTACAACGCAAACTGCGTGCTTTTGATATTGATAATGGAACCTATCTATGTGATTGGAGATGGCAATCCACATCCGTCTCATGAATTTCAGCAAATTTCAATAGGATTATGCACACTAATGACTTGATATGTAAATTATTTGATACTAGATACTTTCAAAAGCTATGAATTTGATGGTGCTTGTAAACTAGTATCCCTCATGTTAAGCCTGTTAAATGAAGGCGACATTTACTATTATCTAAACTTTAATGCCCTATGTACGCTGTAAAGTAATATTTCCTCGTTCATTTCATAACTAGCAGGACCTTCGGCAGTTTTTTTAAATTGAGTTTAATGACATTGCATCAGTACCACTCAGGGCTCAAGTCTTGTAGACATTTTGAGATGTATCGACGTGATGAAGCCTGTAAACTAGCTTCTCTCATGTTAAAATCCTTTTTTTTAACCCGAGAATAAAACATTTATTTATTTATTCTGGTGGCAGGTGATAAGTGGACGGCATGCTGGGACCTCCAAATTCCTGTCCATGCTATTTTCCTGGATTTTACCAAGGCCTTCCATACAGTTCCACACACCGTTCTTATTCACAAAATAGAAAGGTTGGGCATCAAGGGACAAGTGCTTTCATGGTTGCAGGACTATCTACACGGTGAACAGTTCTGCGCAAAAGCCAACAGAGCTTGCTTGACTTGAAGGACATCATCATCTGGTGTATCACAAGGGGCGATTCTGGGCCCACTGCTTTTCCTTCTTTTTGTAAACGACCTTCCACCGAATCTCAGCTCCCATTTTTACTCCACGCTGACGATGTTAAGCTATGGGAAGCTGTGAAGTCAGAAACAGAATCAAGTGGACTGCAAAGTGATCTCAGACTACTTGCAGAGTGGGTGGACTTTGGTGGACTTGCATTTAACCTAGATAAATGCCGAACCATGTTTCTCCACACCCCAGACTCTCAGAAGGTACCCTATTCTCTCTGTGGAGCACAACTCTCCCACACCACTACAGGGAAAGACCTAGGACTAATACTAACTGACAAACTTGACACTAGCCCCATTTATCCAGGCAATGCCTCCAGAGCCTATGCAGAACTGCACTTCATGCGCAGACAATTAGGTGCCCTGACCCCGGAACTCTTTTTGAAGCTGCATAAGACCTATATACGACCCCACCTTGAGGTACATAACGTCATTGCACCACCACATCTGAAAAGAGACGTGGACCTCCTGGAGAAAGTCCAAAGGCGAGCTACAAAGGGTGTCGTGGGAATGAGGCGAAAACCATATCAGGACAGGCTGAAGGATCTACAGCTCTACCCTCTAAACTACCGTAGATTACGTGGTGACTTGAAAACGGCTTACAAAATACTCAGGGACCCAAGTCATCCGAACAGTGGAATCCTATCGAACGGCCACCATGGCGATCCCCGCGGTAACCCAAAGAGAATCGCCCACCAAAGAGCAAAAACCCGTGTGCGATCACACTTCTCTCTGCGAGTTTGCGGCCACTGGAACGCATTGCCTGCCGAGATTGCTACTGCTCCATCTGCTGACAGCTTCAAGAAGAGGTTGGACAGTTACGCAGCGACGCGCGGTTTGCGGTCATCCAACTGGGATGTGGACTAGGTTGACATGACTTACTAACTCGGTACGACCAACCGTTACTGAACACTTCGTAAAACCACTACCACTGAGGACTTGGCTCAACTTTATACCTTCCTGTAGACGTCCTCTCTAGTTACCGTCTCCTACTAAAAGGATTACTCTATTCCCATTCGTCCCATCATGTTATTGATTATTCTTCCGTCTGACTTTACGCTCTCAAACTTTGACGAAAGCTCTCCATATCACCCAACGAACCTACCAGCGTCTCTTCTTCCGTGCCGTTTCCTCTTTCCTAATCTTTTTTATTTATTATTTTTCTTCCTCTCTTCCCTTTCTTTTTCTATTTTGTCTCTCTCTGCACTTTCTCTCCCTTGATTTCTCTGCACATATTTTCCATCTCCTTTTTACAACCAGTCCGACCAATTGTCTGCTGACACGACATTTGAGGAACCTATCTGCACCACAGTCCTCGGAAGGGAAGGCAAACAAACAAACAACACTGCCTACAAATCTAACCAACACCCAACCGCCCGTCAGGCTAACCAGAGCTACAGCAGCCGAGTAGGTAGACCTACTGCATCCGAGTCCACCAAAGATCTGGAACTGTTCCGCAAGACCTAGAAGCGAGCGCGAAGAAATCAATTGGTTTACACTAGCTCGTTAAAAGATATTGGATTATTACAACCTTAGGTTCAAGTTTGCATATGAGGTTTCGCAGCCATTTGGAGGGTGTTAAGAAATTTCTCGGTACGTTTGCTGCAATTGTGGAGTCATGTTTAAAAGTTGTAAACAGCTGTTCTAATAACGTCTAGTAAGACAATCATATCATTTTTACGAATTTTAACGCATTTATTTTGATTATTGTGGATCTAAGATGAATATTCTAACAGTTTGACTGAAAATATCTGGATGTTTAGCGCCCACTCATTAATTTACTGAAGCTAACATTTGGTTGCAATATTTAGTCCAAGCTTAAATCAGCACTAGTCTTACGAAGGATTAGTTTTCTTATGTTAGAACTCTGGTAACCCTAGGTCTGCATTGTCTTCACATACACGAGAATGTATCTCATCGAGTTGGTTACGCATAATTCCTTCACTATCCGCCTTACTTTCAGAATACCTTCCTAAAAATAATTGCATATAAATGTGTTTTTTATCCTGAAAAGAAATTTACAAGACGCATTTTGCCATGAAACCATCTTCGATCATCCATTTCTTCATTCACATCGTGAAGTTTCTGTAGAGAAATAAGAATGAAGTTTAAACAAAGTTTTTGCAAACTTCAATAGTTGTGGGAGTGAATGAAGCCACGTAAAGCAACATTCTTAGTTCTTCCACCCAAACTGATCAAAAAAGAAATCTCCTGTAATGAAAGTTTACAAGGATGTGGTACGTGTCAGTCACATATACACCAAAAGTAAATAACATGCAACACTAAACTTGCAGACACCTGTTTGCCACACCTTACTACACCATTCCGATGTTATGCCAATGCATCTCAGTAGACGTATGATTCCCTTCACCTCTCGAAGTTATTGAGGAACCCGGAGACTTGGAAGTAATTGGGGCGGAGGGGAGTATAGTGCTAGAGGTGAATCTTACATCTTATTTTATTGGTGTACTTCATTATCCCAGCTTATCGTAAAGTGCCCAACATAGTTGACTGTAATCCATGGTCTGGTTTCATCACAGATGCCATAACTTCCAAGGATGATTGCCTTTTCCTGCATTTTAGCTATCATCTTCGCTGTCTACAGTTGTTGAGTGAAATAATTGTACCTTGCGAATATTTTACGAAAGAATCCATCCTTCGGAGGCGTTTTCATAATATCTAAATAATTCTGTGTAACAAGTGGGAAATCTAAATGTAAGTCGTCCACAGAGATGACACTGAATACCGTCCTGTTTTACCCTCAAATGTCAAACCGGTCAAACGTTCTGTTAATGTCGTATTTTCTTTCGTAACACGTTCCATATTAAGTGTGATATGAGAATTATGCAGAACCTTCTGTTAATGAATGATTGTCTGAGCACATTCGTAGTAGGCGATCTCCGTTATCTGTTCGTTCAGCTAGGATTCCGAAAGTGTCATCCAACTGCTTCTTTTCCTGACTTAGTCTACCTACTTGCGCGTTGAAATCGCGTGCAATAACGACCACGTTTGAGCGTTCAGCTTTCAATAAGAGGCTAGACGGTTTTCGGCAGAACTCATCCGTCACTCTCTCTGGGCTGCAGTCAATGGGTGGGTGAGGAGAGATTACAAAGGGACAACGACGAGTTTTAGTATTCTTTTTAGTCCTCACCATGCCGTTCATTCTGACAGTGCACAGGCGACTGTCAACTGGGATCCAGTCAAGCAGTTCACTTTCTACCTCACTGCTCAGTTCTATGCCTACACTTGTAAAATCGTGAGAACTGATCATAGGATCTCCAGGAACTGAGAGAGTAAATTTTGCAGGTTCACCATATTCACTGGGTGAGGTTAAGCGAATAAGCGCAATAGGGTTCCACACTGGTGTTTCACAAACAGCACACATCCATGATCCAATAATCCAGAGTTTTGGCCAGGGAAACTTATCTGATTTGAACGAGCCTACAATATGTATTTTGAAGCGTGGTTTCAGGAGACCAAGGATGCTGTTCTATAAACTCAGGTCGTTCCCGAAAGTCCCAGAACTGGAAGAAATTAAAGATGTTATGAGTTTGTTGACTGAGAGGCGTGAAGAAAGATTAGAAGATAAGCATTTGGGATGTGGAGAATGATATGAGGGAACTTAAGTGCTGACAGAGTTGTGAGGGCGGTTAACACTTCGCTGTTGCCATCACCATGAAATGTTAGTTCTACTTGAGATACTCTAAAAGGAAGGGTAATTGCATGACCATAGAGTTCAAGGGCATTTACTTGAGGCCGGTTACACATGGCCTTTTTGCAAGTTCATTATTTTTGGTTTGTTTCTTTCGGATGCGATTATGAACCCATATCGTCGGCAGTTATGCCACGGGGTGGAAGAGTGTGCTATTGTCAGGAGCTAACGTTATCAACCACCCCATCCCATGGAGAAGGCAGCATTAGCATGACATTAGCATGGCCATCCGAGGGAAATAACTTACTGGTGTCGCACTCTTCTCCAGCCGGCAGTACGACTTCACACTCAGACCCCTCTCATGTTGGCAATCTACGCTAATGTTATCTGCTTTTTGTCTCATCACTATCCAACAGACGTTTCTGGTTTGGCAGGATCTCGAGGGAACAAGCTTTCCGCCAGCATATCTCGTTGGATCATTGCGATATGCAAGCTTGACCACCACGTCAAGGTAACAGCTATCGGTTTAATCAGAGATTTCCTGATTAGAGTGATGGAGGTACTCGTCGGTATATGAGAATCGTAGGTAAGCGCATCAGTCTGGTCTTCCTTCCTATTTATTCTAATCTATTGGAAGGGAGATTTGTTTTATGATAACCACAGGGGATCCGTTTGACCAACATCGTGTCCAATATCCTTGGGTCTATATTTATCCGATGCCTAACTTTTGGAGCTCAAGAATAAAATACACAAACAAACATAACCTATTCTCCTCAGCTCCACCACCTCATTTTTCTTCACCTGATACTAACATTAACCCTCTTACACCTTTCCAGACCTCTCATTCTGCGACAATTGCGAGCCATCAGGGCTATGGAAACCTTATTCCCAGTCCTCTAAGACCACAACATCGATATCATGTAGGCGCTTTCAACGTCTGAACTCTATGCCAAATAGGACAATAAGCATCGCTCACTAGAACTTTGGAGTCTAGCCATAGATGTATGCTGTCTATGAGATACGTATACAGGAACCTAGTGTGGTGGAGACTAGGTGATATGGCTCTCAATCGATTTCAGGGGGGGGGGATGTACGCACACGTTATCCTCATCCTAACCACTATACTCAATCCCATCATTTTCTTATTACTCTCCTTTACTACTTTCTGCTTCTACTCCTTTGACCGATTTTTCTTCCCTTCACCTTTCATTTCATTTCATTCATTACTTGACGTGCTGATATGGGATATGGCAACTTGTACCGTTACTCAGTAGTGCCTGGTCCTATGTTGGTCTTCATGATGATGATGTAGTTATTAAATTGACTTCACCTGGTCATTTTATTGAATCTTCAAGATTCATCTTATGAGTATCTGGAAACCCAGTGGCTAGCTCTCATGGACTCGTTGGTGTAGGCATAACACTGAGATGTACCGCAGTGTGCTCCTTGACTGAATATCATTAAATAACGGCCTATCTGCTGTTCGATTGAGTGGATCTGTAAGGACTAGAAAGAATTGTGAGACCAACCGATGCCTATTCGTAATCCCCACCTACTCACAATGAATGCAGTTTGGATGACAAACAGGATGAGTTATGTGAAGAACTTTCAACTTTGCTACAGAAAGCAAAACATTCAAGTGCAGGTGACTTTAACGCTCAAGTAGGAAAGCTGAGCCAATTGGAAAGGCATCTGGGAGGTACTTACGGACCCTCATGTCAACGAATCGATATCGGTGATCGTCTGTTGTAACTTTGTTCTAATAATCCCTCGTTTCTAACCAAAACTAACTTTAAGCATAAGGAGAGGTAGTCTCTCATGGCGTCCTCCAACACCAAACCAACAATGGACACAGATAGATGACATAGTTACAAACCATCGTTGGAGAGGATCACTGGAGCATTGCCGCTCTTTCTAGAGTACGTGTTTGGACTCCGATCACGCGGTGGTATGGGTTCGTGTGTCTGTGCCTTATTAAGTCGTAGGAAACAGGCTATATTAGAGCCTGTCTATGCTCGATTGGAAGACGAGAATCTCAAATACGTATTTAGGGAATTTAGCTGAGCATTTACCCAAACACAACAGCAATACCCATCCTGAGGAAACCCGACGTGATATTAAGTCCATTGTAGAGACAATTGGTAACCTACACCCGAAGCTTAGCAACCATCATTGGATTTCCGCAACGTCATCTGAATTGACTGATGCCAGAAGACTGATTCCAACCGGCTCCGACCGCGATGAAGAGCAAAATAGTAATCATTATAATTGCTTTATTTCGAAGCATAATTATGTTTTCAGTTCGGAATTCTCAGCATAATATATTACATTGCTTTACCTGTTGTACAACATTTTTCATATAATACATTAACAGTGGTGCTGTTTAGCAATACGTGGTAAAAAATAACAATTGTTGAAATGTTTAATGACTTCGTGGTCACTAACTGTTTGCTGTTACGAACTTGATTGATAAGACTACTTCTTACATGATTTCACATAATAAGCAAGATAAATAAGGTATGGTTGAATTCTTGTATGTGATTGTCCGTACATAGAGTTTAATATATTTGCTTCTTGTCTTCCCAGAGGACACATGGAGAGAGGTACAGATGCAAAAGATGCTTATCATCAGGTAAAATATTTTTAGCCGGTTGTCTGCAAGAGTTCGAATGCCTATCCACAACCACATCAGAACGGTTATTGGTGTACCACTCGCTCTGCTAACAGCCCTCAAAATCCTACGCAGTACAGCGTAGTCTTTTTTCCGGAGTCCAGGAAAGAATAAGGGGGAACAATAAGTAAGTATACGCAAAACACAGGAATTAATGAAACGTAGGAATAGAGGCTGAGTTATTTCAGACAATATGTTTCTTCATGTAAAAGGTCAAGCGAAGGACTTTCCTGGAAATCAGTAAGATGTGAGGGGACAAAGAAAGATCAGAAGAAAAGTATAAGCCAAGTTGGATCACACTTGATATTCTCTACATTAGAGTCATCTATAAGAC